AGGCTCTCCTCCATTAATGTTTTTATTTTATTCTATTTTCATGGTTTTCTCTCATTTTACACTCTCACGAGTCGGGAGTCATTACTTATTCCCCCTCTGTGTTGCCTGTTTAGTTAATTCCTGAGAGATTTTTGGCTAGTCATGTACTCTTTCTTGTCTATGAAAGGAATCCTATAATCCTATTAGTAGAGAAGTTCACAGTAGGTTAATTAATTAATTATTTTAATTTATTCCTGTATTAGAAAATATTAACCTATTCAAGGACTTTATCTAATAGCTTAAGCTTTTAGGTTGAATGATTTTTTGAGATGGTATCAATGGTATCAGAACCACTTTGACCAAATGATCTAGTATTCGATCCTCATTACTCTCATTATAATTAATTAAATTTCAGCCCAAGGTATGGATGGCCTGTGGTTGTTCACACTTCAAGCCTAATGGACTTTCGTGTGAGGAGGCTTGCTAGAGAATATTAACCTATTCAAGGACCTCACCTAACAACTTAAACTTGGGTCAAAATCTAACTTCACTATATAAAATTGGAGTACTATTTACTAGTAATATTATGTAATACACACAGTTAAATGACATGCAGAAAAATTAAACACTCAAGTATATAAACCGCCCATTTGTAAAAGAATTGCATTGCAACAAGAATCTAGATCAGAGTATCAAACTTTAATTTATTCTGCAGAGATTAAAGTGTATTTCACTAAAATCTAAATAAGGGTAAAGCGGATTGGGAAAGAAAAGGTGCTTAGAAAAAGGGAAAAGAATCGTCAGTAGGAGACCTATTTAACAATTTTGAAACTTGTTAAAGTTGCTTAAACTACAAAAGTGGCCGAGTTTGGAAAATATGGCAATTAGAAAGATTAAGGGGAGGAGAGATCCCATCCCAGAGTGCAAATCCTGTATAGGATTATCTCATTTCAAGGTAATTAAAGTGTAGGTGGACCCTGACCCAGAATGTTGATAGATTGACTGCATTTTGTCGGTGATCTTCTGTTTGACGGCAGTAGATATAGCTATATATATTGGTAATTAATTAACTTTGCTTTTGACCACTTATATAAAAGGCGAAAGTCATTGATGAACAGATGTTGAATGGTGATCATCTGAATAGAGAGATGGATGACAAACTGCAAATGTTTGTGGTGGATATGGGTTAGTCTTACTATTGAAGGAAAAGGTTGGTGACTTGTGCATTGAATGGGAAACGTAGATGCAGGTTAGAAGAGAGTCATGGTTTACTGTGAGTTTCTAAAGAAAGTCTTGTTTTACTGCAAAGAATGGTAGGGAGAGATGACCATCCTTTTCTTTTGTTTGCAGGCTAAATAAGCTTTTCTAGGCCAAGATTGTGACCAGCAAAGTCTTCACGTGATGTTCCCGAGTTTTTCTTCTCAGTGGAGGATTGGAGTTGGCAGTGTTTTGAAGCATTTGACCAACTGCACTTAGAAATTAAAATTCCCATCTCTCTCAGACCCATATCTTCCACTGGGGTCTGGGGCAACCAAATCATGTAAGATGTGCTGTTGGCCATTTGCAGTTGTACGTACCTTCAAGTCTCCTCATTTCCTCCTCTCTACCCACTTGCCCTTTAAGTGGTAAGGTTAGATTTATGGTGTCCAGCTCCTTCAAAACTGGCCTTCCACTAAGGTTACCAGTAAAGGTGGATGTTCAAGGACTCGGGGGGGGGGGGGACTGGAGGACTGGAGAGAGAGACCCCATATTGAGAGAGAGAGAGAGAGAGAGTCATATTGCCAAATGTACAGACGGTTCACCTATCTTGGGAAATGGTCAAATACGCCTTTATTACACGTTCCTTTGTTTTCTTCCTTTTAGCTTCCTTGATGGATCTATTTTGATTTTAGCAAAATATTCAATTTAATTGCATTCATTCCCGCCTACACCCTAATAATAATAATTAATGCATTTACCAAAGAGTTGTTCGCGGTGAGTGGTTCATGGCTTCATGCATCCAGGAAGTAAAACTAAAAAGAGGTTGACTTTTACTGTTTTAGGTTTTGAGAGTACAGATGATCGATCTTACCAACCTTTGTTGAAACTTGGGAAATGTGGAGATATTCTTTTTCTTCTCTTCTTTTCTCTTCTCTATGTAATATATATATATATTTGGGGTTGGGGTCATCACTTGAATTGATACCCTACTAAAATAATATTTGTTTAAGAGACGATGGGAAACCATTCAATCCCCCACAAAAGACACTGAATTTTAGGCTCTARAATGTCGGCAAAACCCTAATATCCGACACTTTTCAATCCAAATCTTTTTAACTGAAGAACGGTGTTTTCTCCATCTTAATCAGCAAAAGCAATCCAACTCTACCTACTACTACATTCTGGGGATCAAACATTCCTCTAAAGTGACTAAACTATTAAAAACAAAGGGCTAGACGTAGGAAGTGAGGGGGAGGATGGAGGTTGGGCGACCATTCAATTCTAATTATTAGGTTTTGTGTTTCATTGTCTATCTTACATCTATATTGTTCCTCATTATTTTTTTTTTCTTTTGTTTCAAGCCATATAAGTCTGATGAATTATATAATATATATTTTATATTAAACTTTGGGATGGATCATGGATGATGAGATAAGCAGAGATTCCACTTTAGTGTAGGAAGAAAAGGATGGGGCGATCTAAACCAGATTCTTCTGTCATCACCCACTTTCCAATTTGATCTCATCTCTTCCATCTTATATTAAATATCTGCAGCTATTAAATAAGAAGAAAGATATAAATAAACCAACATTATATATAGTTTCTTCACTCTCCACCATTATCACCAGCACCACCTCTTCAATAAATCCAAACGTCATGCACTCCAACACTCCCTCTTTTGCTTACATCACTACATCAGACACTGTCATCGCCAGTACTACTATTTTACTCTGCCTACGGGATCGTACATTCATGCATATTATTTGCATTTTTTTACTTAACTAGAAAACTTTTCCCCCTGTATCATACACGTATCACATACCCATTTGAAATCCTCTCTCTCTCTCTCCAGTGGTTCTACCCTTGTTGGCTGCTAGGTAGAAGCCAAAAAGCAAAATTATCAACCTGTCAGAGGCACAGGCCGGATATAATGGTAAATTCAGTTACTGGTTATTTATGTCTATCATAAAAAAGCTAATATTTTTATTTTTTTTTCTCCCATGCGATATTATTTATTTATTTATTTTTTACTTTATAGAATTCTTCATCCTTTCGATCTTTCCTATTGGATGGTCAAAGAGTGAGTGTAATAGTCTGGCAAGCTTTCTTGGTGTCAGGGGAGGAAACGAAAGCCATATATCTCAAGCTTTCTGAAAGCGTCCTTTGGTCATGTAGTTTTTGTGTATATAGAGAGAGAGAGAGGTCTGGCCATTTTTCCAGAATCTGAGAGGGTATCCGCCTCACACAGCTTTCCACTTCCAGCCCTAGCTAGCTTCTCTACTTACTGAGCTATACAAGTAAAAATACAGTCATGAATTGGCTTCTCTCTCTTTCATGTACATTCAAATGTACATCCATCTGTATGACTGTGTATCATACATAAATGAGAAACTATAAGGTTTAGTTTGGAAAGAGTACAAATATAAGTATATACAAAATACAAGGTTTTGCACTTTATATATTTTATATTTATACCCTTTCAAATTGAGTCTATATTATATGATGCGCCCCATTGTTGCTATCTAATTTTCTAATCGACGAGCCAACAGCTGGTAGGCCATACAGCAAAATTATACTGAAATATCCCATCAAATTCCCGATTTTGGGCAGTCAAAAAGGGCCATTTTGCAATTGGGTTACCGCAAACAGAATTATGATGATGAGATAGATGGATAAGATGGTGTTGTGCTGTCCTTAGTCCTTATCCCCCCGGACGTGGATTAATTTGCATTCCTTGTGATCGATGGTTGGTTTGGTGGGAAGAAATGAGGTCAATTATGAGGCCATTAGAATATGATTGATCATAGGTTAATTAGTGCACTATATATAGTGTCCTCCTTGTATAGACGTGCTAATCCATTTGCGTCTTTTTTTTTTTTTTGAAGGTCATTTGCGTCTTAAACCATAAACAAATAGTTAGTATACATAAATGAATCAAACCAAACGATCAAAATGAGATCTTTCCTGAAGGGAGGATGCATAGACATCCCTCATTGTGTCAGGTGCGTCAAGCTAACCTACGCACTGGTGTAAATAAATAAGAACTGAACAAAATGGGAGCTTTTCTGGGAAGATGAGTAGACAATACCTTATTTTGTCAGGTGCGTCAAGGAAAGCTGCGCACTGGTGTGTGTCAAGTTAGGGAAAATTTCATTTTAGTACCCTGAACTTTGGGGTAGTGTCAAGTTAGTATCCAAACTTTTAAATGTGTCATTGTAGTATCTAAACTTTTAAAAAGTGTCAAGTTGGTCCTTGTCATTAACCGACTATAAGTTAACTGTTGAAAATGTCAAAACTACCTTTCTACCTTGAGACTTATTCGATTATCTTCAGAGAAAGAGAGAAAAAAATATGAAATATGATAGAGGGAAGTAATAAATGAAAGTAAAGAAATAACTAGAAAGGTAGAAGACAATGAATTCATTAGTATAAAATCTCAAACACCTCAACTGGTGCAGTCTCAAATTAGAAGACAATGAACAATGTCTTCTTTGAAGAATAGTTTAACATTTTGAATAGATAACTAATGATTTTGAAATAGTAACTTGACACTACCACTAAAGTTTAGGGTTCAAAATTGAAATTTTCCTTAATTAATAATCAGGATGACTTATGATAAATGAAAGAAAAGAAAGAGATGAAGGGTTCTGAATGAGAGTTGAAATACGGACCTTTGGGAATCGCGAAGAAAAGGTAGACCTCATCATATCACATTTCTTAAAGTTAAAGCACGATTAAATACTGTTCCAGAGTCACGCATAGATACATACGTATATCTGTGTATATTATACGAGAGAGAGAGAGAGAGAGATTGGCCTTACAAAAGGAGGGGGATAGAATGTTGGGTTTTTCCTTCCCATAGAGAGAGAAGATTGAGAGAGAAAGTGTCTGAAAGGTTACGTTGATGCCTTATGGAGGAAAATCTCAATCCATTAGCTGTTCCTCATCTTCTTCAACACACCTTGAGGAGCTTATGTATCCATGAAAACTCTCAATGGGTATATGCGGTTTTCTGGAGGATCTTGCCTAGAAACTATCCACCGCCCAAGTGAGCGAAAAAGCAAATCAGACTAAAAATTGATCGAAGAAAATAAATGTTAAATAGATCGTCTAGGGAAAAGGAAAGCCATCCTATTTTATTAGCAGATGAATGATGATGCTCTTCTTTTCTTTAGTTTTCTAATGTCAACTTATGTGTACTTGTAACAGATGGGATGTTCAAGGAGGAGCCTATGATAGGTCTAGAGGAAACAGGAGGAACTGGTATTACTTTTAGTTTCTACAGTACATATGAATACTTTTCCCATAGTCCTTGGATTGGATCATTCATTGTTACTAGCTTATGTAGCTATATTGCGCCTTTTAGCTACTTCTCATGCTTTGTTATGATAGGATATTGGTGTGGGAAGATGGCTTCTGCAATTTTGCTGCTTCAATGGCGGAAAACGATTCCAGCGATTGCCCTGGCTCATCATCATCATCAGCAGCATCAGTTTATGGAAACAACGAATTCTCACACCTCAAAGGCCTGCAACCAGAGCTTTTCTTTAAGATGTCCCATGAAATCTACAATTATGGAGAAGGGTAATTAAGTAAAAGCCACCGTGTTCTGTGGATAGGATTCAATAGCTCTTCAAGCGATGATTATATGTGAGGTGAAAAAATCGGTTGGTTTAATTATTTTTCTTCATTGGGTGGACAGTTTAATTGGAAAAGTGGCTGCAGATCATAGTCATAAATGGATATTCAAAGAACCAAGTGATCAAGAAATCAACTTCTTGTCTGCATGGAATAACCCAGGAGATTCGGTATGTATTTTCTTTTTATCTTTTATCATTTTTGATCCTTCATCCATGTTCGCATGAGTTACAGATTAATTTCAAAATATCTCCCAAAGCCTGATTTTTAACCGACTTATTTATTTTTGGAAAAATTCAGCACCCAAGGACATGGGAAGCTCAGTTCCAGTCTGGTATTAAGGTACTTCATCATATACAATCATCACTCCCTCCTTTTGTCGCTGTATTACAACCTCCCAACAATTGAGAGAAAGTTCTTCCTCTAATGTGGTTTTCAAAATCCTCCAGACCATTGCTTTGATTGCAGTTAAAGAAGGTGTTATTCAATTAGGAGCTCTGCACAAGGTTCTCTCTCTCTCTTTCTAGCACACACACACACACAACTGGGTAGTGTTCATCATCATTATGTGCTGTAAACAAGACTAGTTCTCTGGTTTAAAGTATAAACAACACTATCATATATTTAAGGCCTAACGTTTTTCCCATATTCTTGTTGATTCTGGCTGGTGGCATCAAGGTGATGGAAGACCTGAGCTACGTTGTTTTACTGCGAAAGAAGTTCAGTTATCTGGAAAGCATCCCGGGGGTTCTTTTACCACACCCATCATCTTCGGCATTCCCCTTCAAAGTTGACGGGTGTGCTGCTGCACCTGCAGATGCCTGCTGGCCCTTCCATTCCACGCTAGCTTCTCCAGTAATGACAACGACCACCACCACTACCGAATTCTACAACCAGTTTGGCCAGCCAGTAAAGATTACTCCATCAATGAGCAGCCTTGAAGCGCTTCTCTCGAAGCTCCCATCCGTTGTGCCTACTTCTTCCCCATCCTCATCCACATACTGTGAGTCCCCAACGCAGTATCTATCATCTCAGAGGCCATTGGAGCTGATGGGCACGGAGAAGGTGGCCAAGCAAGAGATAGAGGACGAATATGGATACAAGAAGGAGATGGGTGAGAGTAGCAGTTCCATGACATTTCAGCATCAGGGTTATCATTATTATGATCCGCACCATCATCACCATCTCAATGTAACCAACAGCAGACCTAACAAGGATTTCTAAGCCAGTTTTAAAACTATAAATTAAATAACATTTAGTCATGGATCAATCTCTTGTCTGTAGCTTTCAAGTTTCCAGTATCCTGCTTATATGTCTTCTTAATTATCTCTATTTGTAGTCCAGAACTCTCCTTACTACATAATATAATAAACCGTGCAATTTATGTCTGAAGAGACGAACTCTACTCTCTTAATTATAATCATTATTTTAACTTGGTATAAGTAGTAGTACACTGATAAAAAGATGAAAGAGATTCGGAGGGGGGGGGGGGGAGGTGTCACATTGTCAGGATAGACAGGTTTAGTTTAGGAACTCAATTTGAAAGAAAACTTAGTCAAATCAGTACATAAATATGGGATGTTGGAGTCTGCGCAAACTCATCAGCTTCGGTGAATTTATGTTCGTGCAACGTTAATATTTTACTTCTAGATCAGAGGTACTGTCTTCTTCAATACTTTGTATTTAGTTCACTAAATTCAGCCCCAAAGCTTACACGATCTTAAAGCTGAAATTGCCCAGTCTCCCCGTATGTTTGGTTTGATAGAAAATAAGAAACAGAAAGTTAGGGGAAAGTTCTTAATTACGAATTTTGTGAAAGTGATTAAGAACTTTCCCTCAACTTTCTGTTTCTCTCTCATATATGTACATTCTATTAAACCAAACACAGCCTAAATGTGCACAAAATCTCAGAAGGCATTAATAGAAGTTTTCCTTCTAGAAAGAATGCCAATAAATAGTGTAAGGTAATGAACATTATATATATATCTGATCAATTATATTAGATGGTACATGCATGGTACTGTACAAATCAATATTGTGGGTTTTTATATAATAAAAAATTAAAAAAGTAGAAGCCTCAAAATCCTCCTCATCAATGCAATCAGGGCAGATCTTTCAACAGTCTTGGACGTTTATCCAGAGCTACAAGGCCCATTTCGTTGGAAAGCTGGGATACTGATGATGGAGTCTAACGGAAAGCTGCTTCTTCCTTCCCGAAGTAAGTACTACACTTCTATAAATTTGATGAATGAATGGTATGACTTAGACTTACCTCTCTATAGCTAGCGTGACTACTCTACTCTTATTACCTGTAACAACAGGAGGATGTGAGACAAAAAGGCTCTGCAATAATACATCCCTTGACAAACAGTCAACAGTGACATTCCTGTGGAAGGACCTCGTTATTAAACAGTGCACATGAGCTCTTAAAGAAAAGTATTGGACACCGTGGCAAAGCAGTACTGTACCATCTATATCATTTTGCAGTTGTTATGTAACATGTAGTCTGAGTGATGCTCTCAACCTCTGGATGGTAATAGTCACTGTTTGTACTAGCTAGGGCAGTACCATATACATCCGCCAGCCCACCACTATGTTAACATATGCCTGTGTTTGCATTCTGAAAGATTTTTAGCTAGTCTATGAAGAAAACCAGGGTTTTTGCAGACTACAGTTGCACTCGTTGCTTTTGGGAGACGTTTGAAGAGAAAACTGAAAACCAGGGTTTTTCCAGACCCCAAACCACATATTCTTTTCAACTATTTTTACCAGCTGAGTTCCTACCATACTGCAGAGACTCCCCATCTGATGAAAAGCTAGTTGTCTGACAATTGAGGTCAGGAAGTGCATAAGCATCACAGTTTGTCAAGTGGACCCAAACAGTGGATTCACTGACAGATCCATGCAACAATCCATTTCCACCAAGAAGGTATCTATGCATTGAGAGATTACTTCTTTGAGCATCGTGTTGGTGGCAGTATCTTAAAATATTAATTGATGGATGTCTAACTAATAGCCAACAGATTAAACTGCAGGAGTAGGCAATCATGATCTAATAAACCAGAATTTCTGAAAGGCTGAGAGAATATGAGGTAAAACTTGTCCATTTTAATTTTGATTCCTCCTCACCCGCAACCACTATGTAGTTGTACTGCACCAACTGATCTTCTCATACTAGCAGAAAGGACAATTAAAATAAGTTGCAGCATCAATGCAAAGATGAAAAAAAATATATTAAATTAACAATAAAGCTATTTTGGCAGTGTCAGACAGGGTTTTCTACTGGTATTAAAAGCAGAACTGTAAACTGCAAAACCACCATAAGTAAAAGCATGTGAAGACGGTATGTAAAACAATATAGAAGACAATGGAGTGGTCTACTTTTGATAAAATACACAAGGTTCATTTCTAGCCCCTATATCGCAATCATCAATAGTTGCAGTTAAAGACGATATATTATTAGGTTTTGTCCTGAAGGAACTTTGGAGCATTGATGGGCTTTATTAATGGTATATGATGCATGATCGATCAAACCCAATATCTTCTTTGCTTTGACGGCTAGACTGAAGGTGCCATTGCTTGGTTCAAGGGTAAAATCTTCGGCTGAAAACTGTAAGATTGCAGGATTGAGTCTGAGACCAAACCACTTTGTGCCACAAGAAAAAAAAAAAAAAAAAAAAAAAACAAAGGGAAGAAAAAGCTGAACATCAGGTGTGTATCCAGTCTACCTCTGCCAAGACCTCGGATAGCCAGGACCATTATTGAGTAATGGCCATTATATTTTAACTGAAGAAAAGCAGGTGAAGGGTTGCAACCCATATACAAAATTGTAAATGTTTCTAAGAGAGTTAAACACTTCCATGTTTGGCATGTCTGATGTCTATTTACCACTAGAGAGAAAGGTCCAAATAATGACACGGTCCTTCAGATTAAATACATATATATGTTGTTGCTGACAAAAAGTAGCCTCTCCTGCATCTTTTGCCCTTCGACCAAGCATTGGTTATTCAAAGAGTGGCACTGTTTCCCTTAGAAAGCTCTATTATCCAAAGATTGATGTTGATACAGTCATTGAGACTGGGTGGGAAAGCCCTTAAGCTAGTTCCTGTCCACTATCATCAATGTACCTCTGCCAAGACCTTGGGTAGCCAGGGCGATCAATTGGTAATGGCCATTATAGATAAACCGAAGAAAAGCATATGAAGGGTTGCAACCTGAACCGGTATATGAAAATTGCAAATATCTCTAAGATAGTTAGGCAACTCTAATTCCAAATTTCCAACCATGTTAGCCATATCTATTTACCACCAAGGATCAAAATTTCGATAATATGATATGCTGCCCTGTATCAGGTGTATCGTATCAGCAAGGCCTGGTACTCTAAATAAAGGGATTTTGGGGTTTTGTCCAGTTTAAAGAGGTAGGCAGGCCTAAGAGTGACCCCCTGTCCAATTTTGAAAAGAAAAAGTTATGTGCTATTGAAACACCTGATATGCAAGTTCATGCATGTTGGGTGTATCAATCTTTTGAACCTTGTTTACCACTAGAGAGAAAGGTCCAAATAATGAGATGGCATGATTCTTCAGACTAAACAGTGACAGAGAGTTTCTAAAATCAAACTGTTGGGGCTTTTAATCTGAAAACAGTATTGTCAATGAGGTCAGACTGATCGTTTTGGCTTCCCCAGGCAATGCAATGCTGCTGGCTAGTCAATTGTAAAGCAAAGAAGGGATAGATGCACCATATCATTATGCATTGTGATGCTACAATAAATAGAACTAGCATTTTAGACATATGATTCAAGAAATAAATAACTAAAGCCAAATAATTATAATAAAACCAGGGTTAACATTTAAGAAGGCATACATATTGCATTTAACAAGATAATAAGTTCAACAAGAAGAAGAAAAGATGCATGAGTAAATACCAAATAGTTGAACAGATGATTTTGAGGATGACTCAAAAAGGAAACATCATCATCTAAGCCTTGTCCTAATTATATAGGTCCGGCTACATGAATCCTGTTTCGCCATTTCACTCTATTCAGTGACTAAAAGGGCTACATAATTCAGTTAAGACTCAAGTGATTCTACATGCCTGTAACACATATGTTTGAGATTTCTAGCACAAAGGGCAAAATGTTGGTTAACATGGGCTAAGTCTGAAGGGCCATTTTCCTTTATAATTTCCAATAGCATAGCCAATATACACCCAAAAAGTGTGTAGGACGACCCCATGTATCACAACAGGCCTCACCCTCTTAATATCATCTTCTGCCAAGTATGACAAAGTTAAAACAAGAAAAAAAAACGGTAGTTACCACAGGCCTTCATCAGTTAATAACCAAATATTATTTCTGTAAGAAAAAAAGTTGAAGAAAAAAATTAAATTTGCTTTTAGTGTTATCTACCTTTCTTTGGTCCATAAAATGCACCATCTCCTTCATTTAACTAAACAAGCATCTCTAGAAAAGTGAAAAAGAGAAGGAAAATTTTTCAAACTTTCAAAATGCATAGTAATACCCATTCCAGAATCATGTCCTCCCAATCATCACTAGCATTTTGTTTTAATATGGGAAAATATGATACTTAAACCATGTATGGTTTTCAATTTTATCCAAAGCAGACAGGTAGGCTAGACAACAGATCCAGCAAAATAAATCTGGATTAACCAGGAATCATGAATGGACCCAAAAGGGGTCCATGTTTTTCCTACTCTAAAACTATTCACAGAACAACTTTTAGCTTGGAAGCTACTGGCAGTTGGCAAAATGAAGCCTCCCAATGGAAACTTTTTAAGTTAAAAAGTGAGGGAGTAAAATAGCCAATCCAGAAGGTTCATCATCTGATGGGTAGTCTGGATTGGTTATATAATTATCCCACATGTAGAGGTAGCACTGGATACATGGTTACCTGATATACCCTTTCCTGATTAATGGGGTCAACTTGTAAGCAAAACCAGTTTATCTTAAATGTGGTGAATCCAGGGGTGTACTGAAAGATCATACTATACTTGTACCCTTTTTTGTAGGGCTGTAACATATATGGTTTTTTGACAGAGGGGAATTCTCTCTTCATAACATAAATCCTCACTTTGTGCAAGAAATGCCAAAGGTTAGGACTGTATCCAGTCTACCCCACCCAAGATCCAAGGTAGTTGGGACCAACATTGGGTAATGGCCTTTTTTATGTAAATGAAAGCTTTCATTTAGTCGAAAGATATGGTGAAAATAAACAAAAAAGACTTTTATTTCAAGTAAAGAAAATGGGCAAAGCTTACAAGAGGAAATAATAACAATTTAGATTTGTACTTCCATTTACAAAAGATCGAAATATAAATTTAATTACTAAGGTGCCTTGGTACCAGATAAGTTGCTTTCTTAAAGAAACTAATA